TAATTATATATGTGTTTTCCAATGGTCTTAGGTGACCCCTGTGAAAGGGTCATTTGACCCCCAAAGGGGTCTCACCCACAGGTTGAGAACCGCTGCTCTAGAAGGTTGAGCAGAAGAGTGGCAATTTTAATGAACATTTCAGAAGAGTACAGTTGAGTTGAGAGTAGGTTTTAGAAGGGCAAGAGTGGGAGCAGGGAAAGTAGGCTATTGATGGCGTGGACCATAGCTGTTTGGGTTTTGAATATAATTCAACAGCAGAACTGAGAGGACTGGCTGAGAGGTTGGGTGAGTTGGATAGATGAGAGTAGTGGTTAAAATGACTTCAAGGTTTTTGGCTTGAAGAAATTGCCTCTGAGGTGGGAAAGACTTTAGGAGCAGTGTGGTGAGGGCTGGGCAAAGAGCAAATTGGGATGGGGGTTCTTGGGAGTTATTTTTTGAAATTATTAGTAAATTATTCAAAGCTTCCCTAACTGGAAGAAAAAGGAACCCTTCTTTATTTCTCACAGGTTATAGTTAGTGGTGTCTATTTTAAGTAAAACTTGTTTTATGAGGGAAAAAATGTCTGTTTTGGTCTGTAGAGTATGAATTTTATTCATTTTTCTCCTAATGCATTTTATTTCATTCAAAAAGCCTTTAACTATCATGGCCTCGTCGTTTTCTCTCTTCCTTTACTTTCATCCTTGTTTGATTCTCCATCTCAGGGCTTTATCTTCCACCGCTTTGATCCTCTTGTCTCAAAGTAAGAGTAAAGCTCTCACATGGACACTACTGAATTGGAGCTGAACTTTTTCTCTGGTGGATGTGGAAATACTAGTGATGTAGGTGCCATGAAGAATGTCTAATAAAGTTCATGGCCCAGGGGTCTTATCCTATGACCCACAGAGAAGAGACTGTACTCTAAGACCAGAAGAAACCTTTTGATCTCTTGTCCTTAGAGACCAGTTATATTTTGACTTCATTTATAAAAGTACTTAACAAAACTCATCTTTTGAAAGTCAACTACTTTCAAGATAATCTGAGCCCTTTTGACTATTTGGTAGACTTCTATTGTCTCTGGTTTGATCCCCAATAAAGAGAAATAACATAAGATATAAATTTAGAGAAAGGTATATATGGTCCTTTTGCAAAATCTTTCATATGTCAGAGAATTATTTAAATATTATAATTCACCTAAGTATATTCCTAGTTTTCATTAGTAGTTTTCCCAGACCTATAAACTTATTTTTCAAGGGTCCTTGATGGTTTTTGATGAACCATTTATAAATTCTCCGTACTACTTTTTTTTTTTTTATGACCTGAGAACTCGGTTACTCTGATAAGGAATGAATCAGGCATTCCCCAATTAGTAGAATTATGTGACATACTATTTAATTGTCACACTTTTCTTAACTTGCACTTTTATTTTAGATTCACAAACTTATCAAGGAACTCAGACTGTCTTCAGTATTATTCATACAGGGACAGTTCTTCAACTTTAATATCACTATTTTCTATTTAATGACATTGCTTTATAATTTCTCCCTATGGACTCTGTTCTATATTTTTTGCCAATTTTCCCAATTATGATAATTCTGAATGCTAGTTCTATTATTATTCCCCCAATTTTTCTATGTCATTTGTAATCAATAGTCATGGATTATTTATCATGTTTCCTGAGATTCACTGACAACTTGAGATACTGGTAATTGCAAATCCAGTTTCAATTTACTTAAAACAATTGTTATCAAACGTAAGCAAACCATTTCTTCTCATTCCATTTTATTAGATCCACTAGAGGCCCAGTGCACAAAATTTGTGCACTGCGTGGGGGGGGCAGGGTGTCCCTCAGCCCACCCTGCACCCTCTCTAATCTGGGAACCCTCGAGGGATGTCTGACTGCTGGCTTGGGGTGATGTAGCTCCCTCAGCAGTCGGACATCCTTCTCACAATCCAGGACTGCTGTCTCTGAACCCCTTGCCTGCCTGCCTGATTGTCCCTAACTGCTTCTGCCTTCCAGCCTGATCACCCCCTAGACATGCCTCTCCCAGCCTGATTGATGCCTAACTGCTCCCCTGCCATCCTGATTGCCCCTAACTGCCCTCCCCTGCCAGCCCGGTTGTCCCTAACTGCCCTCCCCTGCTGGCCTGGTTACCCTTAAGTGCCCTTCTCTGCAGGTCTGGTCTCCCCTAACTGCCCTACCCTTGCTGGTCTGGTTTCCCCTAACTGCCCTTCCCTGCTGGCCAGCTTGTGGTGGCCATCTTGTGCCCACATGGGAGCAGTCATCTTGTGTGAGGGTATGATGGTCAATTTGCATATTACCACTCTATAATATAGGACTAGAGGCCCAGTGCATGACATTTGTGCACTGGGGGAGTGTGGGGGTCCCTCAGCCCGACCTGCACCCTCTCCAATCTGGGAGCCCTCAGGGGAGCCCTCTCCAATCTGGGAGTTTCTGTCTGTCTTTGCAATAATATGAGCAAATTGTCTGAGACCCCAACCCAGTTTGGTTTGTTGCTCACAGAATAATAGAGGATGGGCGGCCCGGCGGGCCGTAGTTTGCCCATGGCTAGTCTAGGAGATCTGTCTG